CCGGACACAAGTTAAAAAACAATAGCAGTTTTTTTTAAAAAGAAAATATTCACAGTAGTAACGGCTGCCGTCGTAAAGCATCGGGCACTTGTTTTGCTCTGTGCGAAGCATTTTGCAAACAAAGCTCGTCTGGTCTTCACAATGAGAAGAGGTATTATTATTCTCATTTTAAAAAGAAAAGAAATGGAGGTTTGGAGACATTCACTGACTTGCCATTGATTACACACTCGGTAAATGGCCGGGTCAGAGTTCAGCCCCAAACCTGAACTCTCAGCCGCCCCCCTTGGACCAAAGAGGAAAAATTAAAAATACAGTGACCCTATTACACTGATTGATGCAAAGTATCCGAAAGCGTTTTGCTCTCCATCTAAATACAAGACCCTTAAAGTGTCAGTTTTTCTCTTAAATGGTTATTTAACTTTGCAAACTAATTTATGAGCGAGCTTATAATCGCTTTGTACTTTTAAAAAGTTAATTAAACCGGAGATTAACATGCAGGATCAATTAATATTTTACAAACGAATCATCATTGGCACATTCAGAAGCAGCCCCTCTGAGCCCCTGACAGGCCCCTGATAAGATCAGCTCATTTGTTGACTCCAGATGGTGCAGTGTCCGTGGTATTTTGGCTCAAAGAGTCTTCCTTGGATGAATGATGAATAGCACGGCACACCCGAGTAATAATGGACTAATGCCTAATGCCATTAAATCATAAAAATACGGCATCCTTCTTCTCAGGCAGTTTATTTGGAAGAAAGTTTCATTAAAATGATGACTAGCTCCATTATCTGGAGCCCTCAGTTTGGATTAGACATGGAACTTATTTTAAATATCTAAAAATCAGTGGCGCACTGCATTATTAGCATTTGATGCTTCCAAGTTTTTGTGTCACAGAAAATGACCCAAGAGTTAGATGATGCAGGAGACTAGAAAGTACTGGTAACAAAAGGGGTTTCTTCAAGGTGTCTTAGAAGCAGTGGAGGGTTTAGGATGGAGAGGGAAGAGAAAAATCATAATCACCACTTGCCTCATGCTTTGCTTTGTGAATCTGGCTCATGCCTTCCATGTCAAAACCCAATATTTAACAAAACTTTTTTCAGAGTTTTTAAATGCAAAGCTAATTGTTTTGAAAACATTACTGGGATCCCTGGGTGGCTCAGTGGTTTAGCGCCTGCCTTCAGCTCAGGGTGTGATTCTGGAGACCCGGGATTGAGTCCCACATCAGGCTCCCTGCATGGAGCCTGCTTCTCCCTCTGCCTGTGTCTCTGCCTCTCTCTCTCTCTCTGTCTGTGTCTCTCATGAATAAATAAATAAAATCTTTTTTTAAAAAAATAAAGAAAACATTATGAAACATCAGTACTTCAATACCATGGAAAGATTTTTTTTTTCTCAGTCTAAAGCTACCCACCCTCCAAAAAAGTATCATGTTAACCAAAATTGACAAAGAAAGTCGCTGTACCTCAAAGCATCTCTAACCTTATAACCCTGGTAAGAGATATAAACATTCCCCCAGGAAGGATGAAAGCCAAAAATATGCAGATAGCCCTCGATACCTCTGTCACTTCTGACAAAGGAATGATTTTATAAGAAAATTCTAGAAACAACCAAGTGACCTTCTGATCAAAGAACTGGGATTCTTTGATGTCACTAAAGAGAATGCCTTTTAGTTATTTAACACAAATACACACACACACACACACACACATACCACAAAGGGCCTGGGGTAAGATGAAAATATCCCCTTTGTGAAATGAATTCATTACAGGAAAGTGGTATTTGTAGATGGAATTCAGTTGTTAATTGCTGAACTTTTCAGCACAGAGAGGAGATGCAGGTAAGACAGCACAAAACAGCTAACACTTTGAGCACTGACTGTATGCCAGTTCTATTCCAAGTGTTTTACATATAAGAATTTATCCTTTTGGGGTACCTGGGTGGCTCAGTGGTTGGGCGTCTGCCTTTGGCTCAGGGTGTGATCCCTGGGGTCCTGGGATCAAGTTCCGCATTGGGCTCCCCACAGGGAGCCTGCTTCTCCCTCTGCCTGTGTCTCTGCCTCTCTCTGTGTGTCTCTCATGAATAAATAAATAAAATCTTTTAAAAAAAAGAATTTATCCTTTCAACAACTCTACGAAGTGGGTAGATATAGAACATGAAGTGCAGAGAGGCCAAGTAATGTGCCCAAGGTCACACAGCTAACAAGTGGCAGAGCCAGTATTCAAATCCAGGCGCTCTGACTCCAGATAACGAACATCCCAGCAGCCGTCCTCATACTAAAGGGTGAAACACTGAGAGCCTTCCATTAAACATCACCGACCGTACAAGCATCAGGGCCACTGTGCCTTTGTGTAAATTACAGGAAGAGGCACACACCCTGCAGGTAAGTTTCAAAATGGCATCTTTCCTTTAGGTGAAGCCAGGGCACCTCGGTGCAAATGGCTTGGCTGGCAGAAAGTGGGCTGGATCGCACTCTCTGTCCCTGCATCAGGCCACAAACATCGTGCAGGGCATTGCCTGAACAGATTATGCTGTGGCCTTGAAACTCAGAAAACTTATTTCCTGAATGATAAGAATTTAATTATCTGTTCTTTGTCTCCTCAAAGCTAGGACACAGTTGGCACTTGTGCGATTATGGAATGGATTCGTTTAACACCCTCAACAAAGATGACATTTAATTAGTCAATAAATAAATAAATGGCTGCAATGGTGTCTATGTAAACATAGTATATTTAATATAGTATAAGAAACTAAAATATTTGCACACACTGAAACTGATTTCCTCTGGTCACACCAGAAATGATAAAGAGGTGCATCTGGGTGGCTTAGTCAGTTGAACGTCTGACTCTTGGTTTTGGCTCAGGTGATGATCGCAGGGTCAGGAGATCATGCCCCGCGTCGGACTTCATGCTCAGCATGGAGTCTGCTTCTCTGTCTCTCTCTCTCTCTCTCTCTCCCTGCTTGCACTCTCTCTCTCTCAAATAAATAGATAAATCTCAAAAAAAAAAAAAAAGGTAAAGGATACCTTTGGCGTTTTCAAAGAGAAAGAACTGGAAAGAAAGACAGCCAACTGATAATATTAACCATTTTACATTTGTACTGCACTGTAGTTTCCTATATTCACAAACATTCAGTCCTTAACATGACCTCTGAGGCTGGCATTATTATTCCTGTTTTTTAGATTAAAAACTGGAGGCTGAGAGAAATTCAAAGGCTCACTCAGCGTTATACAACCAGCTATGGCTGGGCTAGATCTAAAATCCAGTTCTATTTCTATGTGCTATGTGTTTTTCATTAGTCACATAACTTCCTATAATATACAATGGCCTATGTTAAATAAAATTCTCCAAGCATACCAAATTTTAAAATTAAAATATATCTTTATTCCTTCTCTTGGAAAGAATACATGGATAAAAATCACCTGCAGCCTGTCAGTGCCCAAAGTCCTGAAACCATATCGTTACAGGATGATCTGAAAGCTTCTGGAAAAATGCAGTGCCCTCAAGGTCAGCTCTCCTGAATTATTGCTTAAGTGCTTTGGCCGAACAGTTCTTTCTCCTTAGGTACAGACCGACTTCTCTTTCCTGAGAACACACCAATCACAACTTTTTGGAAAATAGAGGCAACATGACATAAACCAAGCATACCAACGAATACTGCCATTTGGATCACCGAGAAGCAAAGTCTAGAATTGGACTACTCACATCTTGCTCACAAATATGAAAAAGATAGATTCCAAGCCTTCTTGGAAGCTCTTTGCTTTGTTTTCTCTAAGATAGACAAAACATATAACAGAAAAACAAATGACAATTGCTTCTAAAGTAAAGGAGACCTTTACGAAAGCCTCAGGCCATGGGATGATTTATGCTATTGAAAAGAATAAAAAACATCAAGCGTTTGTGAGTTGCCATAGAAACCTTTCTCCGGATGACACTAGAATAACATTGCTTCCAAGGCCTTTCAGAATATGTCTAAAGCCATAAAAATTGTTTCTTCATCATGCTTTTATATGTAAATGGTTACATTTTCCTAAAATGTCAGCAATCTTAATAAATCTTATTTCATAATCAAGCTTTTGTCTTTACTCTTTTTTGTTGAAAAGGAGTGGGATAGCTTCTGTATATTGTAACAGAGGTGGACAAACTTTGTTTTTACTTTACCTCAACATGGAAGCCCATGAAAAATAAATGCAAATCCAGAAATTACAGGTTTGTTTTCTCAGTTTTTTAAATGAAGACTATAATGCACAAACTTTATTATAGAAAACTAAACTTTTAATTCACCAGCCTCAAATCCTTTTGGGAAATTCCATGGAATACATATAAATAAGGGGATTAAGAGTACACTTATCATGACAAGCACTGTGTAAAAATGCACAGAATTATTGAATCACTATTTTACACTCCTGAAACTAGCAGAATACCATACATTAATTATACTGGAACTCAAATCAGTCAATCAACCAACCAACTAATCAATAGTGATGAATAATTATAAAATCTTTAATAAGTTATAATTGGGATCTCAACAATCATTATTATCAAGCATAATTCTCAGATTAAATTTAAAAAAATTTTAAGTGATCTCTAAGCCCAACATGGGGCTTGAACTCCTGACTCTGAGATCAAGAATCATGTGCTCTGCCAACTGAGCCAGCCAAGTGCCCCAGAAATGTTTTAATACTATTTATATCAGAAAATAGTAACACAAAACAAGGATTTATATTTACTTATCTTCAAAAATTTAAAAGATTACTGCTATGGAATCAATAATTACTACTAGCAATCTTAGACTGGTAAGAACAATTTTCCTGAGATATATCCAATCATTAGGATAGAAATGAAATACTTAAAAAAAACCTGTTTTTTAAGTATAGAAGGTAATCATAGGATGCCATGATGGTCATGCTCTCTCTCTCTCTAATAAATAAATAAAATCAAACAAAAACGTGTCTTTTGTGCTTATGGGGAACAAAGAAACACTGATTTAAACAAAGCTGGTTAGTGCTCACTTGGGTATCAGATATACTAATATTGGACCAATACAGAGAACATTAGCATGGCCCCTGCACAAGGATGACACAAATTCGTAAACAAAGCTGGTTAAGGATAGGTGTGCTCAGGTAGTTTTGGGCAAAAGTTCCTGATGTCTGTGACTTACTCTGAAATGCATCAAAAAATGAGGGATTGGTAAAGAGAGAGATGGATAGATGGTTACAATGGAAAAAATCAAATTCAGCAAAACTGTTAACTATAGAATCTAGTTGGTTGGTACATGAGTGTTGACTGTATAGTTCTCTGAAAATTTTCATAATAAGAAAAGTCTGGAAAAAAAGTTAAACCAAGTGGTCAGAAGGTACAAACCTCCAGTTTTATAATAAATAAGTCACAAGGATGTAATATACAACATGGTGACCATAATTAATAACATCATATTGATATTGGAACTTGCTAAGAGAGTAGATCTTAAAAATTCTCATCATAAGAAAAAAGTTTTTGTAACTATATATGGTGGATGTTAACTAGACTTGTGGCATTTTGGAGATAGGGTTGTAACGGAGGTAATAGAGTTAAAATGAGGTCATTAGGTTGAGACCTAATCCAGTATGACTGGCGTCCCTTATAAAAAGGGAAAATCTGGTGATAGGCATGCACACGCAGAGAAGACCATGTGATAATGAAGGCAGAGGTCAGGGTGAAGCCTCCGAAGGCCAAGGAAATGACAAAGACTGCAACGACCAACCAGAAGCTAAGAGAAAGGCACGGGACACATTTTCCCTCCTAGTTCTCAAAAGGAACCACCCTGTGGACACCTTGATTTGGGAGTTCTCACTTACAGGCAATATATTTCTGTTGTTTTAAACTACCTGGCCTGTGGTATTTTGTTACAGCAGCGCCAGCAAACTAATACACACAAGAAATTTTATCTTCCATGGTAAGGTAATGTCACTGTTAATTGAACTTACTTTGGGATAACATGGGGATAAAAGCCCTAGATGACCAGGCCAGTCTGGCATTTATGTGCCAAGGAGCTCTGGCGTGTTGGCAGAGGTAAAGTGGAGAGGAGAGAAGCGGTGCTATTTGGGGACCTGAGAAATGGGGCACTAGTCCAAACAGGTGTTACGTGAGCAGTTGGGTGAGTCTCATGATAAGAGAGCTTAAGGATCTAAGTTTCAGCCTTTGAGCTGTAAGAAGCATAATAGAGAGCAATCCTTGCTGCATTCAACACAGAGCAGTAAATAATAATCAAGGTGCATCAGTCACCTAGAACCGAGGTGAAACTTTCTGAGATATGAGTTAAGAAGTTAGCTTTGCCAATGTTAGACAATTTCCATGCTTTGTATAAATTCCATACTATTTTTAGAATGTCTAACATTAAATCTCTCATTGAACTCTACTCAAATTTAAACGACTGTCAACGCCATTTATGAAACTACTCAACTTCCTGAGAAAAATTCTGCCTTTGGAATCTCATTGCTTCTCTCAGTGCCAAGGAAAAGCTACAGCACAGGGATGCCTGGGTGGCTCAGTAGCTGAGTTATTGCCTTTGGCTCAGGGCATGATCCTGGGGTCCTGGAATTGAGTCCCCCATTGGGCTCCCCACAGGGAGCCTGCTTCTCCTTCTCCCTTTGCCTATGTCTCTGTCTCTCTGTCTGTGTCTCTCATGAATAAATAAATAAATAAAATCTTTAAAAAAAAAAGCCATGGCACACCCAGATATGAGAAGTTTCATCCTGCCAGCTCAGGTGCTCCTGGTCTCTGGGCACTCAGGCCAGGAGGGAAGGAAACATGGTGGCAAGTCAAGAGTGTGAACTCAACCAGAAATGGGCCACTCAGAAATGAGTGCCTAAGAAAATGTGTCCATTTAGGTCTTAACAATCACTTTCAAATAGAAGTCAAAGGCATGAAGGAAGCAGTTCTGGCATTAAAACATTGACCTCAATGTTACAGGCCAAGTATGGGTTTTTGTTCTTTTTTTTAAGCTTGTATTTATTTATTTATTTATTTATTTATTTATTTATTTAAGAGAGAGAGAGAGAGAGAGCGAGCACGCACAGCAGGGATAGCTGCAGCCCTGCAGGCTGAGGGAAAGGAAGCAGCAGACTCCTCACTGAGCAGGCAGCCTGATGCAGGGCTAGATCCCAGGACTCTGGGATCATGACCTGAGCCAGAGGTAGACCCAAGTGAGCCACCCAGATTCCCATTCTGTTTTTGTTTTTTTTTGTTTTGTTTTGTTTTGTTTTAAATCCAACCTGACTCATATTAAGGCTATAAGTCCCATCCCGAGATTGTGTAGACCTAGACCCACATAGGAGTGTGCAGATGTGTACATGCATGCTAAACTGCACAGTACACATGACCAGAAGTATCATCTGTGGTTTGAGGGTGACATGGAGGTAGCAGTGTGCAAGCTGCCACTGCTCCTGTAACGGTCACTGGGGATTGAGTGTCACTCTTCTTGCCAAAATAGGGAGACAACATACAGCTACCATCCTCATGCATATTTTTTTTATTGGCTCAACTGGAACAGATCTTGTGTCCAGAATTCCAAATAGGTAAGTAAGGAGTAATAAAGAAAAGGGGGGACACCTGGGTGGCTCATTGGTTGAGCATCTGCCTTCAGCTCAGGTTGTGATCCCGGAGTACTGGGATAGAGTTCCACATCGGGTTCCTTGCAGCAAGCCTGCTTCTCCCTCTGCCTGTGTCTCTACCTCTCTCTCTCTCTCTCTGTCTCTTATGGATAAATAAATAAAATCTTTAAAAAGGAAGACAAAGAAAGAAAGAAAGAAAGAAGAAAGAAGAAGAAAGAAGAAGGAAGAAGGAAGAAGAAGGAAGGAAGGGAAAGAAAGAAGAAGAAAGAAAGAAAGAAAGAAAGAAAGAAAGAAAGAAAGAAAGAAAGAAGAAAGAAAAGAAAGAAAAAGAAAGAAGAAAGAAAAGAAAGAAAGAAAGAAAGAAAGAAAGAAAGAGAAAGAAAGAAAAGGAGGGTCCCTGGGTGGTTCAGTAGGTTAACCATCTGCCTTGGGCTCATGATCTCAAGGTCTTGGGATTGAGCCCCATATCGGGATCTCTGCTTAGTTAGGAGTCTGCTTCTCTTTCTCCCTCTGCCCCTCCCCACCACTTCTCTCTCTCTCTCTCTCTCGTAAATAAATAAAAATCTTAAAAAAGGAAAGAAGAAAAAGCAAAAGGTATGGCTCTGCTGGCACACACCATCAAGATCAGAGTCCTGTGGGGAGTGTGAGGTGACCTGTGCTGCTGGGAGGGGATTAGGGCAAAGGTGTGTTTTCTTAGAAGCCGTTTTAACACCTTAGCCTTGCAGCTAACTTTCCCTGCTTTATCATCCCCAGCCCAAGGTCGGTTTCTCCAGCATAGAGCTGAAGAGACATAATACAGCTTCCATCACCAGGGAGAGTCAGTAATCTCTAGGGTTCAGGAATTTGCCCTCAAAAAAAAAAAAAGAAGAAAGACAAGATCCTACAGGATATATTTTTTTAAGATTTTATTTATTCACGAGAGACACAGGCAGAGGGAGAAGCAGGCTCCTCGCAGGAAGCCTGATGTGGGACTCGATCCCGGGTCTCCAGGATCAGGCCCTGGACCAAAGGAAGATGCTCAAACACTGAGCCACCCAGGGGTCCCATGGCCTCTGCCTTCCTAAGAAAAAGTACTTGCTGATGTGGCTACAAAGAATTTTCTTGCACATTCCTTTTTTTGTGTGTATATTTTTTTATTGGAGTTCGATTTGCCAACATATAGTATAACACCCAGTGCTCATCTCTTCAAGTGCCCCCCTCAGTACCTATCACCCAGTCGCCTCATCCCCCCGCCCACCTCCCCTTCCACCACCCCTAGTTCGTTTCCCAGAGTTAGGAGTCTTTATGTTCTGTCTCCCTTTCTGATATTTCCCACTCATTTCTTCTCCCTTCCCTTATATTCCCTTTCACTATTATTTATATTCCCCAAATGAATGAGAACATATAATGTTTGTCCTTCTCCGATTGACTTACTTCACTCAGCATAATACCCTCCAGTTCCATCCACGTTGAAGCAAATGGTGGGTATTCATCGTGTCTAATGGCTGAGGAATATTCCGTTGTATACATAGACCACAGCTTCTTTTCTTGCACATTCCTAAGTGCTCTAAGATAAACTACTTCTACCCCTGGAAGTTACATTGCCTGCGTTTATTTCTCAGTTAGTTACAGATATTGAGGTTCTGGCAAGATCTTGCCTTTACTTTTCGTTCCAAGTCAGGGATTGAAAATCTAAAAACAATGGGGAGCAGGGCAGTAGGTAATGTGTGAAGTGGGCAGATGTAAACAACAGCCAGGGCCAAGGGCTGTGGAGATATGAAGACTGTGTTGTGTGCCTTGAACAAAAGCACTTAAATCAACTTTCAAAACACTGGAGAGCCATTCCCAAAGTATGACAGACGTGGCCTGAGAGCTACCAGTATAGAACCTCTGTTATAAGCTACTTTCTGGGCTTCGTCTCATTAACAAGGATGTGGCTTCAACAGATGGCAAAGTTTTCCTGGATCCTCCCTGATACCTCAGCTCTTAGTGTGGCTTCACAAATGGCGGCTTTCCCTGATCCATAGCAGGGCTCTTCACCAAACCACTAATCCCTAGTTTTCATCAGAGTTACAATGTAAAGCAAATTGACAAACCTGAAACTAATGAATGATCAAATCCTATCCATTTTCCCCAGGGTTTCTTTCTTTTTTTTTTTTTTTCTGCCTTATGACTTGGGTCCAGTCATCTACCTAGGAGTCAACTCTAAAGCCGCGGATTCATCCTTGAGTTTTCCTGGTACCTCATCCCATCAATGCCCTATAAGAGTTTTTCCCCGTTATTTCAAACAAATATATCAGATATTGGTTGAAACCTCTCCAGTTCTGGACAAAACCCAGCTTGTGGCTTGAGAAAAGACTTAACAGAAAGCCAAAATAAGCTGGTGAGCTGGCAGTGTTTATGAAGAAAAGGCCTCAAATGGAATTTAGATGAAATTACTTACATGGTTATTAGATTCAATTCTCTTTAGGGAAAATTATACTCTAAATCTCACTGAGAAGTCCTGGGTTGCAAGGTACTCGGTGCATCACCTGTTGCAT